ATGGGTGGGAATTGGCCCTGAAAAGCCCCCATGGGGAGTGGTCAACTAACGTATGTATGTATGTTAGTCACTCTTAGGGGTGAAAGTGTTAAAGACACTTCTCCCTAAGATCAACTCGCAAAGAGAATTTGAAAGGATGGTTTTGCTTTGGACGGAAACTGAAGAACTTAGACAAAAACCCATTAAGCGAGGAAGAAAATCAAAAACGATCTTAACTCACACGTAACAGCAGCTCTGCAAATGAAATCTAGGCCACAACAGGGGGGAGAGTGTGCTAACCTACGCCCCAGAAAATTTATATACCGTCTGTTACGCAAAGATATCTAGGGACTGGGTATCTCGTAGCAAAAACTTAAAGAAAAACAACAAATATACGTTTGCAGCACGAATTTCCCCACTGCTCCAGAAGGTGGACCCTAACCCAAACCCCTTCTTGGCCGGAATCTCTACTCTAAAAAAAAACGCAGAGGCGGAAAGGGGGCAGTCATTCTTACAGCTCGCATGATGACCTGCTGCCAGACAGGGTATAGTGTTTGCATCATTCTGTCCTAAACGGGTAGTATGATCTTACGCGAGTCTGTCTTGACAAAAGCCAGAACCTGTTCTTTCATTTCACTTAAAAAAACACCAAAAACTTCCTAGCGACTTTCTAGAAACAGTTCTTTACAGAAAAAATTACCTCGGCCTAGGTGGCTTAAGTATCACATGACACCAAACTCGTGGCATTAGGGTACACGTATCTCTCTGATCATATATAGGCAATTAAAATGATATACAGTAAGCATATTACCATGGTCTGTCGTCCTGTTGAAATCCATCATACGAATAAGGTAACATTTCATTTCCAAGGTTTTCCTATTGCAAGAGTAAAAAAGATATTGATCAATAATATCAACCAATGTTGCAACGGTTCTCAAAATCGTTATCATACTAACACAGAAAAGACATTGATCATTGATTTTGACAAATGTCATCAGGAACATATGAACAATGATTTCACACGGGACACGACTGTGCAACTTTAACCAACTAAAGACAAGAACATTTCTTTCTATTAATTCATGTCCCCTTTAGAGCATGATAAAATGGGACAGAAAGCTTAAAATGACCTTCCACCAACCCATCTAGTCTTGTAAACTAACAGCTTCTGAGTACGCTAGTAAAAGCTACAATGTAGGCGTAAGTTGCGACGCCGGTTAAAAAGGTGAGAGTCGGCCTTAAAAATGTACTAATTATATTTGGATATATCAACAAAGTTGAAGTGGTAAATTGGCCACCGTAACGATTACAAAAGCTGACGTTTCGAGCGTTAGCCCTTCGTCGGAGCGAAATTTACGGCGGCCGCAGGCAGCAGCAACAAAAATAAAAAAACTTTGATAAGAACAACGTGGATTTAAAGCACTCAAATATTGTCATAAACCTACCGGGACGGATTGAACAGGGCGCTCAATAATAACAGACGGAATAGTGACATGCTCCACACTTTTCATGACTCCGTTCCTTGACAAAGGACTTCGACTCACTCGGCCATACCCACTCGTACCAGTACCACGCAACAGAGTCCTGACTGTCCGCGCTGGCGGTTTGGGCGGTTCGCGCGATTTCTCACTAGACATGTCTGTCCTCATATTAGATACATTTGACTCATTCGACGATTCCTTCCACGAAACAGTTTTCTTCTCTGTGCTCTCAACTTCAGAGGATTCTCTGTACAAAATGTGCCTTGAGTTCGTTGAATTCTTACTGTGCTCTTTCCATCGATTCGACAGGGGGTACCCCCTTTGAGAGCGTAGTCCGTTGTTACGCTCTCCATTACGCTCAGCATCACTGTCCGAGCTACTGACTGTGCTCTCAGAACTAAACGAAGGAGATTTACGTCTATTTGGGAGTGATCGTAACCTTGAAGGTGTGCCTACTCTAACTGTCTCATTTGTAGATTTTCTCTCGTCTCGAACGGTTTTTATTTGTATGTCATTCTTTTCTTTCAGGGTATATGTGCCAGAGTTTGGTCGGCTTCCTGATGTCGAGTCTGTCCGAGCAGGAGAATGGGATCGAGATGACGACGGAGAATAATAAGCGTCGGTCGACAAGACTTGGAGACTAGAACCTTCGGAATAAATGATGAGTAAAGTTGAGCGCAAAGCATTTTGCTCAAAATTTGAATTTCAAACGAGTGGACGAAAAAATAAATGCACATTTGAAAGGGGAATAACATTAATCGCTGCATCGACATGTGTTCGACACACTTTAACTTTACAAAGAACCGAGGAAGAATTAGCTGGGAAATTCGCAAGGTATACGTGTGTGCGTATGTGCGTGCGTGCGTACGTGCGTGTGTGTGTGTGTGTGTGTGTGTGTGTGATTACTTGACAAATGGTGAATACCTTTTATTCTCGGCTGATCCACAGACAGACCACCAACTCTGACAGGTGTCAATTTGGTCACGATCAGCGGCGATTCCTCCACCTTTTGAGCATGTTTCGACACAACAAGTCTACGAGTGTTAGCCGCTATTTGTTTCCTACAACAGGAGTTAATTATAATATCAAATGTAAAAATATGAATAAAGAAATAAAGAAAGAAATATCGATCTCCCACCCTGTATACCCCGCCCAAAATTTAAACCCATTTGACACTAGGAGTGTTTAATTAGGATTACATATGTAACGTTTGAGTTTATTTATAATTTGTCATCGTTGCACATATTCATGTGGAGTTGCTCGAAACGAAGTACCTTCCGTCAGTTTTCATACAAACAATGATTAGCGCAGCTTTGTTGACAAGATTGCTTTAGTCCGGCTTGGAACACTTCTAAACTGAGAGTTTGTAAAAAGAAAATCGGTACCAATGATCTACAAGAAAAATTTTCGTTTTATATACTTGAGGTTTCGAAAATATCACTGGGTAGATTTTTTCCGTGGAAAAGTCGCGAAGGAAACTAAAAGCTTTACCCTCCTGCAATTCGCCTCTCAAATCTACATACGCTAGCACAGGTTTTGTCTCTTCTAAAACACTTACGCCATTACATACTGCATGACCGTGGTATCTGTCGTTGTATCGGACCATGACATCGGTGAAGAAACACCCGAACCGCTGGAGTCTACGCTCCCCCTTTCGCTCGTTCTTCTAAGCTTTTTTAACTCTTCAAACTGACGAGCGCTCTTCACTTCAGCCTCTTCGTTCACAACTGTTGCACCATCTGTGTTAAGTTTTCGCTGCGGATGCCTGTGTTTAGGGCTGTGATCTGATCCGTTGACGTGATAGCGATAAGCAGTTCTAAGTGGCACAAGAAAGAAACCGTTTGAAATAAAATTAAAAGCAGACAGTCTGTTTAAGAAGTCTCCTTACTCAACTATACAACAGAGCACAGGGGTAAGTTTCCAAACAAACTGTGGTGCTGTATAGGTGGAGGGAACTACAAGATGAATTGGTTTTATCAAGTGGGTTGATATTGTAAATTGTTCACCGTAAAGAGTTTCTTGAGTCGATGATTGAAGCGTTAGCCCTTCGTCAGAGCGAAGGAACGGCTTCCGAGGACTGAGAAAAAATGGACAAGCATGTTGTAGCTAAGTCAGGAAATATGGCTAATAACTCTGACAGAGTTCTCCATTGAGTGTTCTGTTCAGGTTGGGAACTGGAAAATCACTGTTCATAATCAATCCCCATTCCCTCCTGAGTCGCGAATCATTTTGCATCTCATCAGTTGAGAAGTTAGTGCAAGTTTTCTAGACGAATCACAGAGCAAAGTGAAGTAAACCAAGTTGTCATCCAAGATTACATTCAACACTGCTTACCATCAAGACGGGATACCACTTCACTACAGGCTACCGTCACCTCGTTCGGGCGGAGGTGACTAATTATCAGCTACCTGTGCAGGGGAGGGTGGGGAGGGTCTTTTATTCTCATTAGCTGTTTGTGATGTCTTTTTCTTTTCTAATTTACCGCTGCGATCCGTTTTGTTTTGGTTTGAAAGCACTCTAAACTCCGCGTGGTAGCTTTATACCCCTCGGTACTTGTAAAGGAACTGTGTGAGCCTGAGTGTCTACCGTTATTTTCGTTGGTATGAGGTTTACAAAAAATCAATGGATTGGGTACAACAGTTTGATTCGCTAACCCGTCATGTCCAAATCCCTTGGGACTTTCTCCATCAGGTGTACTATCAGAACGACTTCTGTCGCTGTGTGGACTACCTTGTGGTTTACTAGTTCCAGTGCTACTCGTATCGCTCTGACGAAAAAAAATCAGAACAAGAAGAAATAGAAGGTTATTCATCTCAAGAATCTCAAGACAGAGAGTTCTAACGTAAACACACCCTTACTACGCAAAATATTTAGTAATACCTAGCGTCCTAAACTGAAAGACGCACACCGTTGTAAGTTTCCCGATATTTTGTTAAAACCGTGGTATTTTAGTCACTCACAATGGGTCATTTCCAATCAATACCAAATGAAAAAGTGATTCTTGTAATGCTCAGTCGCCACTTTTTGCCGGATCTCTTTCTCATGAGATACTCGTATCAGACTCCACCGTAACGAATACATTGACAAATAAAATTGCCAATCGGACAATATAACAGAGGACATTTTGAATAGGAGAAAGAAGGACCTATTTAGGACAAGGCTATAACCAGTAAATAGCATGGGCCCTGAAAGAACTCTTGGTCGAAAAAGGTCTATATCAAGAGCCCTCTGTTGCAGTGCCAGCCTTATTACTTACTCAGTTTAACATTCTTTTCTATATCTGAAAAATTTTACCTGATCTCCACCTACAGCCTCTGGTCTGTCAGGCATTCCAGATTTAGCGTGACTTTCAAGAACCTGTTGGCATAAAAACCGTACTGTTGAAACTCTTAACTCAGGAACAAGATACTCGACCATACTTGACCAAAAAGCGATGACTTACTTCAAGCCTCTTTTTGAGGTCTCTGTTCTCCGCTTTGCAATCTTTGAGTTCTTTGTGTAACTTCGCCACCCTTTGGGATAGCAACCAACACGATTCTTCCATTACCAAATAACGGGCACAACTGGTTTGACCGGCTGCGTAAGCGTAATCGGCAGGAGAGCGCCCATCATTATCGGCAGTGATGACGTCAATATTGTGATCCACAAGGGTCTGGAGACAAGTCATATGACCCTCCCTAGCGGCAAGGTGGGCGAGTGTTACACCAGATGAATCAGCGATGTCTGCAAGGGAAACGTGTCCAGGCTAATGAATCAAAAGAAATTCTATTTCATCGTAAAAGACAGTGACTGAGAATAGATGGAGAAAGCTGGTGGCGAACAAAGGGGGAGGGGGATGAGGGGGCGAGTTCACCGGTTCCCCAGGTTCTCACCTATCCACTACCCCCTTAGAAGAAACGTTTTCTCACCCCAACCTTCCTCCGATTTACATACATACATACATACATACTTTATTAGCATTCCCCTAAGGGCTTTTCAATACTAAACAGTACAAATATATTGTGATAATAAATGAATGAAGTTATAATTTATAAAAAACGGTCATTAAAATAGTTGTCTAGCATGTGTATTTTCACCTTCAAGTTTTTTTTAAATGGTGTTAAAGATAACTGTTTAAAATCATTGTCTACATTGTTCCAAATGTTGACTGCTCTGTAGAGGAAACGTCGCTGGCCGGACTTTGTCTTACTTGGAGGAATATCAAGGGTTTCTTTGTTTCTAGTGTCATGATAGTGAATAGACTTGCGCTTTCGAAAAGACTCACATAAGTATGCGGGGGCCAGGCCCTTGATGCACCTAAATGTCATTACAGTGTCTCTGTGGTGAAGATGCTCATTTACTGGTAGCCATTTGATTTCGTGTAATGCAGGAGTAATTTGATCAAATTTCTTGGTGTTTGTAATGATTCTGCACGCGAAATTCTGAACGGCTTGAGGCTTCTTGATGTTTGCGGCAGTTGTGTTTGACCAAGCGGTAGAGCAATAGAAAAACTTACTTAGGACTAGAGCGGAGATGATCGTAAGTAGTGTGTCCCTATCAAAACTGTTCTTTACCCTATTTATTTGACGAAGTTTGGCCATGCGCGATGAGGTAATTTGATGAATGTGTTGGTCAAAGGTTAAGTTATTATCTAGAATTATTCCGAGATCCTTGGCGCTGTATACAGGTGTGACCTCTTTCCCCAAGAAAAAGATCGCGATTTCATTTGGAAACCTGCGCAATAGTTGTTGTGTCCCGACCATTAGGAACTTGGTTGGGACACAACTTTGACGACTAAGATGGCGGCCAAACATTTCAGCCCAACAGGTCGTGCAGAAATTTTGAGAGTTATCCTGGACTGAATTCGCCTTCAGTGTATGCTTGAGAGGTTAGAGTTGTACTCTACAAGTTCTGTTTAACATAAATTGCAACACAAGCAAACTACTAAACGTTGGAGGATAATCTGAGAGGCGAGATTGCAATGAAAAACTCGTTTGCAAGTTTCCTATTGCACACATCACTCGTCTAACGCATATTTAAACAAAATGATGATATCTCCTTGATTTCCTTATTTGATTGCTTAAGTAAAATTCCGAAGCATTTGAAATCTGTCTTGGTAAAACATTCAAAGGCAAAGATGATGGAAGATAGATAATGGAAAATTACTCCCTAATTGATGCAGTTATAAAAAAAACACCTTTTAACGTATTCGTGGATAATTTCGATCATCAAATATTAGCAGAAAAACGACTTTTACCAAGCTCTAGGTATTTTCCACTGATGTAAGACAAAAGGTATTTCAGACACTCGTCCTGTCCACTTTGAACTGTCAGTTGGATCAGTGCAAATCTGCCAGAATTGTTAGACATTTCATCTGCAGAGGAAGTGTTTTCCAGCAACCACTGTGCACATTGAACACTCCCATGCTAAAGAGAAAAACAAGAGAGGAGAGTCAGGGCTCGAAATTAACGGTAACCCGTTAACCAATGGTTAGTAATTTTCAACTTTTGGTTACTAAAAATGTGTCCAACTAACCCGCCATGGTTAATAAAATTTTCTAACATATTTAGACATTGGTAGACCTCAGGACAAAGAGCACGTAGACCCGCATCTCAGACGAATACTTAGAATACTCAAGTTGTTTAATCAACTTAAACTCTTTTTAGAGAATGTGCTGTAGATGTACTGTTCTTGACTAATCATGATAAATGAGAGGGAAATAAAATAGGTGCATAATTGTCAACACTTTTGAGGTCACCATGCAATTTCAGCTACTCTTTAATTTGTCCTAGTCGTTATTATCAAAATGTTTCATATTTGAGATATCGTAACTTGTGAGGTTGGATATCACACTAATTTGGTTATTAAAAGAGATGTCTACTAACCCGAAGGGTTTGTCATCCAAAAATTAAATGCAAGTCCTGAGAGTACAATAAATAACTAAAGGACTAATAAAAAAAGAATTAAATAAAAAAAAGAAATTCCTATAAATTTCAAGGCAAAGATGTTTAAAAACCTCACATGAGACCAAAGAGGATTTCTTCCTTACAATAACAGTATAGTTTTGAGTTTAACCCTTGGATCCCTGAGATTCAGACTGGCATCTAGTTTTTCCTCAGAATATTACCCCTGAATCAAACTTTTAGATCACAAGAGTAAAGGAAATGATCACTAACTAAAGAAAATTGCGATACCTAATTAAAACAAATTCTCCTTGTCAGAACCTAAGGAAATGCATAGAAAACATTATGGAGAATATTCATATTGATGCGAGGGTGCGAAGGGTGAAGGGCGAACAGAGGAAAGAAAAAATTCAACCAAAGGATTTTGTCGAATTCAGCACCAAATTCTCAAAGCTCAAGTTATGAGAACTGTATGACAGTGTCAGTTCCCCCCTCCACATTTGTAGGTAACATAGAGGAGGGAACTGTAATATCAGTTACCATGGTGATGATAACAAACAGAGAACTCATACCTTAACTGCAATAGCCAGAGGTGTGTGGTAATCTTGGTTTGTAATATTCCTCACACAGTCATTTGGTAACTGTCCTACAAGCCACTGAAGGCAGCCAAGGTTACCAGCCTGTGCAGCTTTATGTACAGCAGTGTTTGCACATGAATCTGCTACTCTGATCAGTATTTCACTTGTTCCTCCAAGCTTGCTATAAGCCTCTTGCTGTTGGAAAAACAGTGGAAGACAGACAAGTATATTATTACAGCTTGGTTTCTGGTACATGTATGTATATGCTTTTACACATAACTATAATATGAACAAAACATAGTTCAACCAGCCCTTGGTTCAAAATATTTGTCGAACTATCATATTCTATCATTTGATCAAGGTACAGATCAAACAAAAAGGTATTTAATATAACCTTACATTTGTTTAATCATCAAAGAGCTCATATCTCACTAAGCCACATGTGCATGCTGAATACCTTAAATACACTTGAAAATCAAAATCAAAAGACAACTGGTTAATCTTACCATTCCTCTCAAATCCCCAGCTTGTGCAGTTTCAAGAAAATGTTCTTTCCATTCATCCATGTTAAACACACCATATTTACCCCAATTATTCACCTTTGAAATAGATGCTTGCACTTTAGAAATTCTGGCAGATCTAAGTAACTGTTCTCTCAACTGAGAAGGGGAAGAGCTGGTAACTGCATTAGTGCCGTTGACAATAGTCTCTTTAGTTACTATGCCCCTGGGTTGGAGTGCCTTGAATGCTGAACTCTGATTAGCTGAAAAAGTGTGCGAGAGCTGGTTATGATTCCTTGTGGTAGCATTGTTTTCTTCTTGAGCTAACTCAGCATGAATGTTAAGCAGTGATGCGGTGCTGGCAACAGAATTGTAGTCATCAAAATCATATTCTTCTAAATCACATTCCTCCACCTTCCAACGAAAATATACAATGCTTGTTAGTACAGGGACATTCCTAAAAAAAGGAATATTCTTTACTCAAGTCAAGTGGCCCATCTAGCTGGAGCTTATTGCTGTTTCCTTAGCATGAAATGACTAGGAGTATTGTTTCCTTTCCCCCAGTTCATCACAACGAAGGTTGAGGTAAAGGTAACGTCTGTTTATGAGCCGTTCTGATTTCTGTAGCATGAAGTAACTAGGAGTATTTCTACTCCCCCCCTGGGTGGGATGCTAGTCCATTGCAGGGTTATCCCCCAGCATTACATTTGCCAGTACCCATTTAAACACCTGGGTGAAGAGAGGCATTGTGAGAGTAAAGTGTCTTGCCCAAGAACACAACACAACGTCCCTGGCCAGGGCTCGAACCCGCACCTCTAGTTGAGCCTACTAACCATGAGGCCATGGCCCTCCCATACAACGAAGGTTACCTTCCAGCATTTCATCAGGCATCTGAAAATTTGCTGGCACCCATTTATACCCCTGGGTGGGGAGAGGTACAGCTGTGAAAGTAAAGTGTTTTGCCCAAGAACAAAACACACGGGCCAGGTCTGAAACCTGAACCACTCAGCTCTAGATTTGCCAAAAATAGGCCAGCATAAAAAAGGTGATTACAAAGTAACTCATATGTTGGATCATTCGCAACTCTGAGATTATTGCTCTTTGGTTTGGATTGTCCACAGGATGTTTTGTTAACTGTGATCTTGTGTTGTCATCTTGCTTACCTGTAATTCTTCAGGACTGCCATTAAGTACTTTTAGACATTCATCTAAATACTGTTCGTCTTTTTCAAAGCTCTGTGGTTCATCAACAGAACTTCCCTCTTCCAGGATGTTTGTAAGGATCAGGTCTCTTTGTTTTCCAGGTCTGAAGACAAATCAGAGTTATCAATTTTAAAGGTGCTCTCAGACTAGTAAATCAATGCTGCTTTTTAATATTTAGTCACATGTACAGTTACCTGAGGACCATATGTTTTGAAATGAATTTCTGGAAAACTTCTTAACTTTTCAATTTTTTGTGTATTTTTAGCTGTACTTTCAAGTCAATTCTTAGAAATGCAAATGCTCACATTTTTTCGGTTTTCATTTCAGGTAATGTGGTTGAAGGTGAACAATTAACATAAAAATTTTTAATCTAGTAAAAGAATTTCCCCTTAAGTCTCAAAACAACTGTACAGATCGCAGTTAAGAGAACATGTATCTTGATATTGGCACTAAATACTGTTCACATTACCAACAGTCACTATGAATAAACCAATTAATCAAAACATCTGAAGACAGATTTGTTGAAAATTTACCTGTGAACTGTTGCTTCAGTTGTGTGCAAGTCTGGTCCATTGCTGTGATTTGTTGAGCTAATGGCTTTTTTCACTTTGTGTAATTTGAACATCAGTCAGAGTGAGCATTTGCTGGTACACTCATGCCTGACCAGCTGGGCAACTAACACATTTTTTAAGTTTTCGATGTCTTGTTTATCTATGAAACTTCACATGGCCAAGCATTTACAACCTTGAAAACAGAATAATGGGCAAATAGAATGTGAGTACAATTTAAACATGAAAAAAAAAAAGTATAGAATGTGTTGTTGAGCTAACATCCAACTGTAATTATGACTTGCTGGCACAATCAGTTGCTGCCATCACTGAGTACTTCAAGTACAGGATACAAATTCAATACTGATGCATCTATAGTGTACAAATAATAATATCACATTTACATTAATTTAATTAACTTTCTGTACTTTAAATTTTGGTTACATTTATAAAGTCTTGCCTGAAAATTCAAATTTCTAAACCCCTTGCTTCTCTCCCCTCTCCCCCCCTTCCAAAAAAAAAAAAAGCTTTGAAGTACTTGTTGTATATTGATATGTGTGCTAAGCAGTACTTTCCTACAGATTATGCTTGCATTTGAAGGACTGTGTTAGTTTCTGTTTTAATTATGAATCATAAATTTTCCACCAAAGAGATGCATGCTGTTCAGGGTTTCCATAACATTTGCACACCAGTTCAAAATAAAAAGAAGACAACTTTGCATTTTGACCTTGATCAAAAGGTTTTTGATAAGCTCCCTAAATCCTTTTAAATGAATAAGCCCCCATCTCTTCTGCCAACTTGTGGCAATTAATAAGAATATTTACAGTACACCATTTTCTTTTAATTGCCAGTGAGAATTAGTTCTTATTAACTTTTTCATGCATAATTCTTTGTGGTTAATTTATTGGTTTCTGATAATATCAGGTTGTTTTCCTTGCATTTTTCATGATTTACAATAAGAACGCCAAGAAATATTAATATTAAGGCTCTTTGGTTAGTCACTTTACTCTGATTTAATCCCTCTCTCCAACCAGGAGGTAGAATAGGGGACGTGACATAATGCTGGGAGAGAGGGGTATCCAGTTATGAGCTGGCTTCTCATCTAAGGAGATTACCACATTCCTAGTGATCTTGTTATATTATCGAAACCGGGATAAACTCAAGCAACAACGGCCACTTCGCATCTAACCAGCGATCACAAGAATATGTTGAATAACCGTGAACAATGAATCTTGGTGGTTTTTAAAATGAACCTTTGTGAAATATCAGCGAAAGCGAATTCATATCGAAGACGACTACTTAATTTTTAAAAACTGTGGGACGATGGCTGGTTTGCTTAATTATCTATCGCTGACACGAAACTAAACGATAATTTACAAAGTAAACAAAATCGATGGGGGTTTTGTTCACATAAGGCTAATAGATGAGCGTAAAATATTCAGAACATTTTAACATTTGGAGACAAACGCAAACAAAATATTCAAGAAAGCGATAAATTATAACTTGATTTAGAGTTAAAGCTCAGATATGTGATAAAACCAAAATACATTTCCTTGGTTTGGATAACACAGAAGGAAGTCGAATGTTTGTGTAATATGGGTTTGATATTTGACTGTTCACGACAATTCTACTTCGATTTTCGGGCTTTTTCCAATGAACTAATGATGAAGATAAAACAAAATCGAATTGTTCAAAATTTGAAGAATGAATCAATGAACAATTAGGTCCGTTTAGTGGACTAAACAGATTATAATCTAACTTTCCAAAATAGCAACGGATGTGATCAAGTAGAGAGATTTGTCACTGGTCACGTCACAGCGGATTTCGATAAGGTGTTCTGTTCGATGTCATATTGGTTCTCAAACTCACGCATTCACGTCGTTTTATGCCACCCAAATGAAATTTTCAGATACATTTAGTTCCTACTCTTGACATGTCTATCCTTTCAGGACACAGCTGTCAAGGTGAAATGTGGTTTCAATAAATATTTGCACAGCTAGAGCTAGTCAAAGGATTGTGTACACTAAACATTAGCGATTTTCATCCGCGTTCAATATTTAGAGAGTGTTTATCTCAACATCATTTCCACGTCTTTATCAAATATATTAAAATACACTTACCTTGAAGTGCATAAATGGTGATATGAAGAGCTTCAACCTAGTCAAAACACGACAAAAAAGTACCGTAAAATGGCCGACGGCATGAAAAGGTTCAACAAAGCCCTTAATGAGCGGTCGCACTTTAGTAAAGAGAATTTTCACGTGCATCACAGAGTAACAAATTTAAGCCTCCTTGAAAATCTATATTTTTACCTATAATTGAAATTCCGCTTCAAATGAAAAACACAATCAGTGTTATTTAGTTCAGAAAACAGTCTTCGTTATAATAAGATTTTTTTTAAAAGAGCTTTTGCAGTTGTTCTTACACCTTGAAAGATCGTTATTAATTTCTCAATACCAAGCAGTTTAAGGCAAAACCGCAAGCCTTGATGAAGTGTATCAAATGTAGATGGTATGTGGTTTACACGCTTGCGGCCGTTATAAATGTAAAACATTGGATGGTGGAAAAATACAAAGGAAGGTACATACGTCCTCAGCGGTTCTGGCTAATTAATCAAAATATATTGCGACACAAAATATAAAGTACTTAGATCATAATGTCTGAGGCGGTACAAAAACTACTCGGTCGAAATACTCGAAACTACAAACTACATAATATAATTCAAGAACACTCCAGCCATAAGTGGGAAAGAACAAAGAACATGTGTTTCTCACTTTCGTGATTTTCCACATTGATGTAAATTTAGGGATGGTGCAATTATTGTTTTTGGCGCTTTTAACTGACCGATTAGAGGTGATAACTTTCCATGCTGACAATTAATTCGCACTCAACAATGAGAGAACGAAATACGTTGCCCTCCACAGTGACTATCGATACGTAGATAGTAGGAAATTTAAAAAAAACTTTCTTTTTCGATGATGAGTTTGTTCTTTTCGATCTCGTTGATTAAGATCAAACTTCATGATATTTGCTTCAAACCGGGTTCAGGATTAGCTGACTAAGTTTGCTTGGCTTCCTGCACGCTCCTCAGTAATTGTACAAATACACGTCGAAGCTGTTGTCCCCAACCCCTGGCGGCTTCGCCGCTCAATGTTTTGTTCAAAAAATAGATGAATTAATTAATTCATACGGCATGTGTACGATCCGTAATCGATTATGCAGCACAAGTTCTTCATTACTCTCTCCCTGAATACCTCCACCAAGAACTAGAACGTATTCAGGAAAGATCCATGAGAATCATTTGTCCTGGTATGCAATACGAACAGGCCTTAGCTATTATGAATCTTCCAACTGTGAAAGACCACCATGAAAATATGTGTACAGCAACATTTCGCAACATAATGAACGATCCTCAGTACAAATTAAGCAAACTTTTACCACCCCGCTATGTAAGCTCTCATACCGGGTTAAGGCACGAGCGTACCTTTGCTTTGCCACTTTGCAAGACAAATAGAATTAAAAACAGTTTTTTTATTGCTTCGGCCAGAATACTCAACAGTTAAAAATAATGTACAAGTTCCCCCTTACGACGAACTGCGTATTTTTTAATAATAAGATGAATACATGTACATAGTTATTTTTATTTTATATCTGTGATTACGCAATTCAGTTCATGCTGCGAAGTATTTACCAATTCAGTATCTATCTATCTATCTATCTATCTATCTATCTATCTATCTATCTAATTCGTTGAGTGCATGGTGGCAATACAAAAATTCCAAATTCGAGATTTTGTCGAGAAGAAGAAGAACTCACTAGAAACTTGAAGCTCAAGAATAAGGATGGGGGCTTATCAAGGTGATCGCCTTATATCGCAGCAGACCTAATAGGTCGACACGGAGAGGCATGGAGACTTAACAGGTTTGTCAATTGGAAGTTTATTCTTTCATCAAAGTAGCAACTGAATGAACAAAGGAAAGAGAATGGGATCGATGAATAGAGATATTAAAAGGTAGGGGGATCGTTGGCTTAGATGTTACCGAGTGGCCTGGCATTAAGATTCTCAATTTCCTGTCTCCGTCTCAGCGACAGGGCAACATAAACCAGACTATGAAAATAGCAGCTGCCTTTAGTAAGTACATCATATCCACCTGCTTCCATTCCGGTGGCTTTAATATAACTTAAATGATAAGATGAACAGACCAACTGTCTATGCACGTATAGTTTGTAGGATGGTCATAGACGGGGGAACTTCAGAGACTAGTGAACCGTTGACGCTTTCGCATATAGGCTCAGTACTTGGTTAGACGAACTGAACTGGACGAACTACGTTCCAAGATAAATATATATTCTCTTCGCTTCTGTTTTCCTTCTCGTCTCCTAATAACTTTCGTTATTGGGACATTCAGTCACGGTTAAAATCTAATCATTCATTGATTAATAAGAAATGAACCATGATAAATCATGCACGGGGCATAGCTCTGCAGTAGAATTCAGTAGATGCGGGACTATTTCGGTTTCCGCTAATATTTCAACATTTCCTAATTATGTAATGAATTTACCTTTTATCGCGTGTAGTCATCGTTGTAAATATCTTGTAAAATGTACCCCATATGCATTATCTCGGCAGGTTGCCGTCCAGAGTAAGACTTCTGAATCTTGGGGAATAATAAGCCGAATGAATGGACAATTCGCATCTGACTGTTGACGAAATATGAATTAGAAAACGCACCGAGTGGCTTCTGGCATTAAGATTCTCAATTTCCTGTCTCCGTCTCAGCGACAGGGCAACATAGATAAGGCAAGACATCTCCCACGAGT